TGCAAGTAACTAAAATCAGAAATGAAAGGACATTACTACTGACCTTACAGAAATAAGAAAGCATTATAATACTATGAAAAACTGTATGATTAAGTAGGAACCAGACAACGATGTCACTTTTACCACTACTTTTTTTTTTTAAGATTTTATTTACTCATTTGACAGAGAGAGAGGGAACACAAGCAGGGGGAGTGGGAGAGGGAGAAGAAGGCTTCCTGCTGAGCAGGGAGCCCGATGTGGGGCTCGATCCCAGGACCCTGGGATCATGACCTGAGCCGAAGGCAGACACTTAACCACTGAGCCACCCAGGCACCTCTTTACCACTGCTTTTAAACACTGTACTGGAAGTTCTAGCTAAAGCGATTAGGGAAGAAAAAGAAATAAAAGGTATCCAAATTGGAAAGGGGGAGGTAAAACCATCTCTATTCTCAAATGACATGATCTTATAATATACAAAATATATATTACATATATAAAGAATCCACACACACACAAAACTAGAAGAAATTAACAAGTTCAGCAAAGTTTCAGGATATAAGATCAACTCATTAAAGTAAATTGTGTTTCTATACACCTGCAATAGGAAATTAAGAATCAATTCCATTTACAATAGCATACAAAAGAATAAAACACATAGGAATAAATTTATTGTTTTTTAAGATTTTTTTTTTTAATTTATTTGACAGAGAGAGACACAGCAAGAGAGGGAACACAAGCAGGGGAGTGGGAGAGGGAGAAGCAGGCTTCCCGGGGAGCAGGGAGCCTGATGTGGGGCTCAATCCCAGGACCCTGGGATTACAACCTAAGTGTCTGAAGGCAGACACTTAGCCAGCTGAGCCACCCAGGCGCCCCAGGAATAAATTTAGCCAGGACGTGAAAGACATACATAAAACTACAAAATACTGCTGAAAGATATTAAAGAAGACCTAATAAACAAAAAGGCATCTATGTTCATGGATTGGAAGATCTAATATTGTCAAAATGGTAATGCTATCCAAAGTGATCTACAGATCTAAAACAATCCCTATCAAAATTCCAATGACCCTTTTTACAGAAATGAAAAGCCAATCTTCAAATTCATATGAAATGCAAGGGGGCCCAAACAGCAGAACAATCTTAAAGAAGAACAAAGTTGGAAGTCTCACACTTCTCAATTTCAAAACTTACTACAAAACTACAGTGATCAAAATAGAGTACTGGCATCAGGATGACATATAAGCCAATGGAATAGAACTGAGAGTCCAGAAATAAATCCATACATCTATAGCCAATCAATTTCCAACAAGAATGCCTAGACCATTCAATGTAGAAAAAACAGTCTCTTTAACAAATGTCCTGGAACAACTGTACTTCCACATACAAAAGAATGCAGTTGGACCCCTACCTCACACTATATACAAAAATTAACTCAAAACAGGTCAACAACCTAAACATAAGAGCTAAAACTAAAAAATTCTTAGAAGAAAACATAGGGATAAATCTTCATGGTTTTAGATTTGGCAATAGTTTCTTAAATATTATGCCAGAACCACAAATAATAAAAGAAAAAATGGATAAATTGGACAATCAAAATTAAAATCTTTTGTGCATCGATATTATGAAGAAAGTGAAAAGACAACACACAGCATGGGGAAAATACCTGTAAATCATATATCTGATAAAGGTCTAGTATCCAGAATATATAAAGAATCCTTACAATTGTAGAACAAAAAGACAACCCAATTAAAAAAAGGGCTTGAGTAGATATTTCTCTAAAAAGATATATAAAATGCCAAAAAGCACACGAAAAGATGCTCAATATAATTAGTTATCAAGGAAAGGTAAATCAAAACCACAATGAAACACTAGGATGGCTATAATATATATAAAAAAAAGAAATTAACAAGGGTTATGAATATGGAGAAATTGGAACCATTGTACATTGCTGAAAGGGATATAAAATGATAAAGGTGCTGTGGAAAAGTTTGGCAGTTCCTCAGAAAGTTAAACATAAGGGCGCCTGGGTGGCTCAGTTGGTTAAGCGACTGCCTTTGGCTCAGGTCATGATCCTGGAGTCCCGGGATCGAGTCCCGCATCGGGCTCCCTGCTCAGCAGGGAGTCTGCTTCTCCCTCTGACCCTCCCCCCTTCTCATGTGCTCTCTCTCTCTCAAATAAATAAATAAAATCTTTAAAAAAAAAAAAAAGTTAAACATAAAATAATCATATGACTTAGCAATTCCACTTCTAGTTATATTCTGAAAAGAAGTGAAAACAGGTACTCAAACACATACTTATTCATGAATGTTCACAGCAGTACTATTCACAATAGCTAAAAGGTCGAGATAACCCAAATGTCCATCAATGAATGAATGGATAAACAAATTGTGGCATACACATACAATGGAATATTATTCAGCCATGCTACAACATGGATTAACCTCAAAAACATTATGCTAAGTGAAAGAAGCCAGACAGAAAAGGTCACATATCCTAGGACTCCATTTATGTGAAATAACCAGAATATGTACATCATAGAGACAGAAAGCATACTGGTAATTGCCAGGGGCTGCAGGGAGGTAGGAATGAGAACTAACCGCTTAACAGACACAAGGTTTTATTTTGGGGTGATGAAAAGGTTTTGGAACTAGACAGAGGTAATGGTTACACAACATTGTGAATATACTAAATGTCACTTGTTTATTTTAAAGTGGTTATTTTGTTACGTGAATTTCACCTCCTTAAAAAACAAAAATAAAAACAAAACCACAATACCTGAGATAGCAGTCAGAAAAGTGATTACATTTTGGGAAAGTAGTGACTGGAAGAGGATGCGAGAAGGGCTTCAGGGTTCTTGGTCATATTTTATTTTTTGATTTGGGTGCTGGTTACCCAGGTGTGGTCATTCTGTTCAAATCTTGGAGCTGAACAATTGTGATGTGTGTACTTTTGCTTTTTATATGCACCTTGTACTTCAAAATAAAACTTCACTTTTAAAAAGTTAAAGAGTTACCATATGACCCAGGATATACCCAAGAGGACTGAAAAACTTCTGTCCACACAAACACTTGTATACAAATTTTCACATTCACAGCAGCATTGTTCATGATAGCCCAAAAGTGGAAATAACTCAAAATTCCTCAACTAGTAGAGACACAAAATGTGGTATATTCATACAGAATATTATTCAACTATAAAATACAGTGAAGTACTGACACATGGTACAACATGATGAATGAACCTTGAAAACACGTTAAACGAAAGAAGCCGGACACAAAAGATCACACATTGTATGATTCCATTTATAAGAATTTCCCAGAAGAGGTAAATCCACAGAGATGGAAAGCAGATTGGTGACTGCCAGCAGCTTTGGGGTAGGGAATAATTGGGAGTGTCTGCTAATGGGTATATTCTTCTTTAGGGGGGGTGGTAGATATGTTCTGGAATTAGATAGTGGTGATAGCTGCACAATCCTGAAGATACGAAAAATCACTGGATTTTACACTTATTTAAAAAAAAGATTTATTTATTCATTTGAGAGAGCGAGAGAAAGAGAGCATGAGCAGGGGAGGGGCAGAGGGAGAGAGAGAAGCAGGCTCCCCGCTAAGCAGGAGGCCCCATGTGGGACTTGATCCCAGAAACCTGGGATCATGACCTGAGCTGAAGGCAGACGCTTAACTGACTGAGCCACCCAGGTACCCTGGATTTTACACTTTAAAATGGTGAATCTTACGTTACAAGAAATTTAATGTTATATGAAATATATTTCAATAAAAAAGATTTTTTTTTAAGATATTATTTATTTGACACAGAGAGAGAGAGATTACAAGTGGGGGAGGCAGAGGGAGAGGGAGAAGCAGGCTCCCCACCGAGCAGGGAGCCTGATGCGGGGCTCCATCCCAGGACCCCGGAATCATGACCCGAGCTGAAGGCAGACATTCAACCGACTGAGCCACCCAGGTGCCCCTCAATAAAAAAGATCTTAAATACTTTTATAATATATGTGAACTCTAGCATATTAAATAAAAGAAGTTCAAAGGGAAAATATTACTCTGGAAATGTTCCCTTTCCCCCTGCCCATCCCTCAGATCAGCACATCTTGGAGGTGGACCTCAGATACCACTGGAGAATGGGGGTAGGTGAGTCGCAGTTGGGAATGAAAACTGTGACCAACAGCCCTGACTGTCCCTGAGCAGAGGAATGTGGTAGTTGATGAGAAACAGACCTTGGGCTAGAGCAAGGGAGAGAAAGTCAAAAGCGGTGGTGACAAAGTGTTGGCAGCCCTGGCACCAGAACGCTTTCCATTGCTTCATCCACAGGGCTGATGCCTTAGGAATGAGTAGTCCTTAACTGATTTCAGCCTCAACAGCCAGAGGCCCTGAGATACTTCTTAACCCTTAACTCCTTACTTCTTACTCTTTTGATGGCTTTGGTTGGGTATTATGCAGTTCTTTGTACTTGTAGTATTATGAGTAGTTCCAAAACCTACCCAAACTATAGATTTATTTGGGTAGACCTCTGGGACTCTAAAAATGCCTGGATTTACAAATCAGGAACAAAAGTAGGCTAACAGTTTTAACGGTAAATCTGGATCGGGGGCAGCTCAGATTTAAATGAATCTCAGAGTTTAAAGGACTTAAAGGTCAGCTAAATTTTATTTGATTTTTGTTCTCATCCTCCACAGTCCCAAAATGCAAAAAGGAGTAAATGAAGCACCTGCTGGTATTTTAGATAGAGAAGAAAGGGTTTCCTTGGTATTTTGAAATGATGCTTGCCTGCTTCTGTGTGCCAGATGTTTCAATGTGTGTAGGAGAGATAGTAAGACTGAATGGAAACTGGTAGACAGCTGTCCTGAAGTCTGAAATCCCAGGATTTTTCAAACACCACCTTTGTGGTTGTCTCCCCTTCCTTCCACCTCTTTTGTCTACTCATACCCCACTCCTCTAAGAACATAGCCAATTTTTACCTTGATTCTTATATGGACCAGTAATGAGACTGAAATAGTAGATGTTCTACTTGCTGGGAACACTGGGGCCCAGGCTCCAGGAGGGATGAGAAGATCTGAAAGCCACAGCTTTAAAATAAGTATCATGGCACAAAATGAGAGATGGAAGTTAGGAGATAAAATTGAGACGAGGAGTGGCAAGCTTAAAATATACATCTCTATGCCTATCCTTATCTTGTTCCTCTTCTACTGCTACAAAGATACAGACATACATACACAACATTTGCTCACCCAACTCGCCATTTGCTGGCAGCTGAGGGCCTTCTCCACAACCCATCCCTGTCCCGGCAGCCATACCTACCTTCCGGAAGTCAGACCCTGGAGGTGACTGCCTACTGACCCCAAGGTGCTCATTATTTCTTTGGTCTCTGTGGCTTCTATCCCTGCCTCCCTGAGGCAAAGATGTCTTCTGCAGTCCTTCCTTCTGGAAATCTGGACTTTAGCAACTGCTCCTGAAAAGAAAGGAAGAGAGGTAGGCAAGAGTCAGTAAATGTCTTCATAGTCATCCTTGTATAGGTAGGCTATAGGAGAGCTGAGTAGCAGTTTAGCAGGGACAGAGCATCAGAGAGATGAAAGAAAATAATACCTCAATATGGTTGATTTTGCCTCTTTGCAATCCTTCTCTATACCCTCTATCATGTAACTCTGCCTCTCCTTTCACCCTGCTTACTCACTTCCCTTAAACATGCATTTCCATTGCTTTCTACAAAATATTTTCTCTCCTGATCCTCCACAAGTGGAATGAAAAAAAGCCTATAAAGCTTTTAATCTATACATCTAGAAACAAATTATCTTCTACTCTCTTGCATGCAACAAAGACTTTGTGATATCTTTTTGTGTACCTGCATTAAAGGTAAAGCTCTGTGAAGACAGGCAGTTTGATTTATAGAATTTCACGTCCAAATGCTTGTACACTTGGAAATGTATAACCAGCTGAACAGAAGTAGGGGCAAGAGATAGGGAAGAGGAAGAGAGGAAAAAAGAAAAGAATAATATTCTTCAAGAATGGAGATTGAATGAATGTTGCCCAGCCTTGATGGGAATAGAGGAATTTAGGGAGTCTTGCGGGAAAAGCAGCAGGACCTATTTGCAATGATAGAAAACTGATGAGTGGAGTGACACAGATGCGTTGAGTAGGAGACACACACTTAAAAAAAAAAACCCCACACTATTTTTTAATATATAAAAGTACACAAAAGGAAAAAAAATAAACCCTGGTCTATAATTCCACAGCACCAGATCACCCTTACTGACATAAAATTACATATTTTACATGTGTGTACATATTTTATATGTGCATGAAATATTTATATTTTATTTTAAATGCATTTTACGGTCAGGATGTTGAAACAAAAAATACAGAATAAAAAATGAAAGCATTCTTCCTCCTTCTACCAACAGCAACTGTTTTTGCTTTTTTTTTTTGTTTCCTTCCGGAAATCAAACTGGCAGCTTGATTGAGGGTTCTGATGAGGTGACAAGAGGATGTTGGGCCAAATCAGAGGTCTGGGGTTTGACTGATTTCAACATGCCTACAAAATCTGGCTGGAAGGAGAAAGGTAGCCATCTGAATATCAAAGTTCCCAAAGCCTTTGATTGCTAACTCTAAGGTCAGTTTACCCCCATTCCCAACCTCAGTTTTTCTTCCAGGAGCTTCAGGGGCAATGTGTCCCCCTCCTGGCCTGACACCACTATTTCAGACTGCTGCTGAAATGGAGGCCAATGACGCCTTGATATGCACTCCCTGCCATAGACAGTGCTTTGTATACAAAGATCCAGGACAGAAGCAGGATAGTTGGCTTCTGGAGTGCTAAGTATCCAACAAATACAATCAGCAACTTGCAGCTTTTACCCACTAAATTGCTGAGTATTCACAGTCAATAAAAAATAGCTACTATTACCACATTGATTCTTTTAACAAATTTTTATTGAGCACTGTGTGTGTGTCAGGCAACTGTGCACTGGGAATACAATGAAAAAACAGTAAGCAAAGAGACTTCCTGCTCTCGAGAGTTTATAATCTAGTTGTGGGGGGAGGGATATATTGATCAAATAAACACATAAATGTAAAATTAAAACCACACTGTTACAGTGAAAACATACATGGTCCTTTCAAAGTGTATAAGGGTTATGGGCAAATCAGCATGGCAGTGTTTTTTTTTTTAATGATAGATTTTCATTATCAGTTCAACTGCTTGGCTTATCAATGAATACTGTGAGTGTATACATAATTTTTTTGGTTAAAAATTACACAAACATTATAATAAAATTCAACTCTATATAAAGAAATGTGTTCACAATCACAAACTCTTTTCATCTGTCCATGTTCTCACAAAATTGTTAATCAATGACCTTGCTTAGGTTCTTTCTTGCCCCAGGCTTGGTAGGTATGTTTTGTTAATGTGAGAACCAAGGTTTATGAATATATATTTTTAAGTAAGCTCTAGGCCCAATGTGGGGCTTGAACTCATGACCCCGGTATCGAGAGTCCCATGCTCTACCAACTGAGCCAGCCAGGCACCCTAGGAATATATTTTTAAAAACCCATCTCACTTTCTTTGTAGGCTGTCTCCTCTCTAAACCTGCCTCCACCTTTTTCTTTTTAAGAAATACACTTAATGTCCCTGTTGGATGCCTGTATCTATATGTCCAACCCTCCCCGCCCCTCAACACCTTGCCATTCTTCTTCAGTCCTTGAACCTGGCAGCCTGATAAATAAACATATGTCCTGGCATGCTTTGATACCAAACCATTAGCTAACCTTTTGACTTTTACATTTTTTTTTAGAGATGGAGCTGTATTAGGTACAATGGGAATACTTACCAGAAAGGTTAAGAGTCTTATATGCCCTGAAGCTAGCTGTGAATAGGAGATAGATGGTTTATGAAGCAAGAGGTCTCCATTCACAAAGCCAAAGGGATTTCTGGGGGGGGTTATTTACACAACTTAGGCAAAATTAGGTGTTTGCCCAAATTTAAACCTAACTGCTGATGATGTATTCTCACAGTTGAGGGAGTCTAATAAAAACTTTCTGAGGTTTGCAGAATTTTGAAGTAGTTATAGGTGATACCATAAGCGACATGTAAAGATTAGGGCCCCCTCCTTGCCTTTATCTCCAAAGGTGAACATTTACTCAGTGCTGTGATAGTACTGAATAAAAAGAAACAGGTCCTACCTTTAGGTGCTGGCAACTGGGTTACAGTTCTGCCTTTCCTTTCACAGGGCTTCTCTGGAAAGCTAGATCCCACTGATCAAAGAGGGATCACACTTTCAGCCCAGACTAAACGCTCTCCCTCTACTAGTTCAAGGCAGATATACAGAATGCCATTGCTTCTTACAAGTAAGCATTCATTATTCTAGAAAAAGCCTGAAGTTATCAAGAGAATACAAGAGTAATAGAACAAAGTACTCCAGCCCCAGCTACTTAAATTAGTTCTGTACTTCCTAGATTTTGCCTCTCTTCCCTTCCCTACCCTTCCCAAGAGTCCCCGTCTTAATCTAAAGAGTAAGATTCTGACTCCCTCAGAGAAGGAATAAGGGTACAAGTGAGATCTGAAGAAGACTAACCCCTCCCCACTCTAAACCCACCCATCTCTCCCCAAAGGGAGGTGAACTATCAGTAACAATTGGCATTTTAAACTTGTAGGTTCTCTGAATTCCTGTAGACAGGCTGCTAGAATAGGGAGGGAGTAGCTCTCCAGAAAAACAAATATATTTCTGAAGCTCATGTGGGTTTACGTTCGTCTAAAGGGCAGCTTCTAGGTCACTCTATGGTTTCCGGGCCAGAAAACTGCCTAAAAAGCAGGCCTAGGAGGACTACTCAGGATGGTATGATCCTGGACATATTTGGGGCTGAGATGGAGACAATGATCATTTTAAAGAAGGAAAAAAAAAAATCCCTGTGGCACAGTGAGGTGAAGTAACTTGTCCAAAATCACAGCAAGGCAAATGGCTGAGGAAAATTCACGGACTGAACTCTCCCAAGTATGTCTCTTTCCACAACATGATGAACAACAGAGGCGAGGACATGTTCTAAATAGACATTAGTCAAGGCTCTAGAAAAACTAAATGGCCTCCCCAAAGTCAACATAGGATTCTGCAGCTCTGCACCCAAATTAACAGGGAAAAAAGAATTCTTAGGGAAAAAGACCAACTTTGCATTATTTTTGAGTGGGGAGAAGACAAGACTCTGAAGCCTCTGTTGAGCCAGGTTATAAATTTCTGCCAACAAGGATGTCAAAAGGAAACCAGGACAGAGATTAGGAAATCTGGGGACTAAGCTCTCTGATCCCTAAGGACGCCCTCAGCAAGAACATGAATATTCTTGCGGGAGTTCAGCTTCCAGAGTAGCATAGGGAGAGCCAACATAAGGGTGTATGAAAAGCTTCACAATAAGAAGATGCCAAAACCAGACCACTGTCACCTACTCAGTACCCATCTGGGCAGCACTGGGGCATAGATAACATAACTTCACAATCTGACATGAAGAAAGTAGCCCCAACAAGTGGGGAAAAAGAAACTGGGAGGGAGGAGATAGACAACAGGACAGCAGGAGTTCATTTTTCTAGTTTTCCTGTGGAGTTCAAATGTGTGTGGTTTCAAAACAAAAATCCAGAAAGAAACATGAGGTTAATGCATTTATTCCAAGTAATTAACACGTTAAAAATAAAATTAAACTTGTCCAAGCCAACTCATAAATTCTTTAATCTTTTGAACAAAATGTACAACCCAAAACATCACACTATGGTGGAAATAATTTGGGAAAGGGAGAGGTAGAGGAAGGGAATACATATGGATTGTGGAACAGAGAATGAGTCCAATCCCAAAACAAGTTTCAGCTCTTCTACCTCTTCAGAACAGAAATGGCTGCTAAACAATTTAACACAAAGTGTTACTGGATCACAATACAATGAACAAAAGGCCATTTCAAAAATAAAAGTGACCCAAAAAGCGTATCTGCACCTGGCATTCAGCCATGAATCAGCCTTACCGATTTGTCGTCTTCCAAAAGTGAACCTGCTAGATTTTCTTCCATGTTTATTGAGGCCATTTCCAAACAGGTTTGTGAGTTAGCAGGACCATCTCAAGCAAAGGCAACAGAATAAAGAAGTACGGGGCTGACATGGCACAAGGAAGTAAACAGTAAACAAAAGAGCTACTCACGCTGCATTTCAAACAATGTTAAGGCAGGCTCATCCAAATGGAAGCCTAAGAGATGAACAATCCTTCCTTCATTAGTCGTTTTCCATTTCAGCAGGCTTTCTGGTGTTTCTCCCAGAGATCCATCAGCTGCCCAGGAAATTGGGTAGGAATACAACATAGCAATTGGAGAAGTCAGCTCTGTCTCCCTCCTCCCCCATATTCCAGAAATGGTAGAGTCAAAGCCAAAATACAATCAAAGCACACTATGTGGTGAGCCAGACAGACATTTGATTTTAATGACAATGTAGGA